TTAAAAGGGAATCTTAACCCAGGCATACACTGTGTGCTTTCTTTTTTTTTATCGTTTTACGGAGCTACAGCTCACACTATACGACATAAACTGCAGGGTTTAAAAGTCCACAGCTCACGATGTTTGTTCTTCCTCTGTGTGACTCAACGCTCTGATGTGATCTACCTGCTCACACTATACGTCTAAAAACCAGGTGGGACTCAGCTCCACAGTGAGATGGCGCTACTCGGACTCGTCTATTGGGAAGCCAAACAGGTGAAGCTCACTAGAGTGAAACGCGCTGCCTTGGCAATTTGAAAGCTCTAAAAAGAAAATGGCGACAACATATTTGGACAAAAACATGGCTGAGCAAACATGGCTACTACGGTTTGTCAATTTTACAGAAAGAATTCCTGTGTTTTTGTCTGAGAGGAATAAGAAGAATCCTTGTTTGCCCACTGAGCGATTTGCCCACGACCACCTTATGACGGCCGACTGAATTTCAAAAATGTTTGATTTTCTCCCCACCTTATGATTCCTGATTGGGAGGTGGTCCTGAGAGGTGATTGCCCCTCGTTACCCCCTGTACACTACACGGCTAGAAAGTCGCCCCGATCGAAAAGGCTTTAGGGGACCAACCAAGGGCCCATCACGGAAAGTGGAGACATTTTAGCTACTACTGTATGAGCTATGCTGACCAGACGTCCTCAGCTAAAGCCGCCCTGGAAATGTCCCCAATTTCACTGTTTTATGAATGAAGGGCAAAATGTTGTGTGTAAAAGTGCGCGTGAGCATGCTGCATGCTGAAACCGCTGTAAGCTAGCTGATTGGCAGCTTTTAGCGTATAGATGAGGAGCAGAGCGCCAAACTTTTAAAACAGACGAGGAAGTTCATTATCAGAACCGGTCGCAGCTGCCCTGTCTTATGGTGGGTGTGTTAATCGGTTCATTTGATTTGAATTGGGCCGATCATTGTGATAAATGTTTGGTTCGTGTCCCGGTTAATTAATTAAAAAAGGACTTTGATGTTTTTTACTACAGATGAGGGCCTGAAATGTAACATAAATCCAGCTAATCAACAAAAAGTAAGAGACCAATGGCTGCAGCTGGCATGAGGAAATAGACTCATAAAATTAAACAAGATGATTGAAAACTCCTTATAAGGAGCTAATCTGGTTCAGTGTTTCTCCAGGGATCTACAAGGGTTTACCGAAAGATGTTTTTTGAATTTAACTTCAAATTCACTCTCTGCATTTAACCCATCCCCTCTGGGAGCAGTGTGCCATTGTGCGGAGCCCGGGGAGACGTGTGGGGGTTAAGGGTCTTGCTTAGGGACCCACAGTGGGAGTGGGGCTCGAACTCAGAACCTCTGAGATCCAAGCGCAATGCCCTAAACACTAGGCCACCACTCCCCACCTCTCCTCATCTTCAGATAGTTATTATAAGCGGAGTTATACTGTACGTTGTTGGTTTTTTTTGCTCTTTTATGGTTGTCATTTATGAGCATAGACTTCCAGGCTGAGGTTTTCTTTTCTACCACTCAGTTTGGATTTAAGAAAGTTCATCATTATAAAAAAATAAGAGGCAGTAAAAGGGAAACTGAATGAGACAAGATCTGCATGATCTGAGAATGAAGGAGGATAACCACCTGTTTAATGTTCATTTATTAGGTTGGTTTTATTTGTTGCTCAAAATATTGTAGTTATAAGCCTTTTTAGTATTAAATCAGGTGAGATAACAATAATAATAATGATAATATGTATGATGAGATTATGTGTGTTTGAAGGGGATTTTGATGCTTGATGTCCCTGTTTTAGGTTGCGTTCACGCTGCAGGGCTTGATGCTCAATTACGATTTTTTTTGTGAAATCCGATTTTTTTTGCGTTGCTGTTCATATTTCCAAATATGTGCGACTTGTATGTGATCTACTGTGTGAACTGTAGTCATAGAACGCAAGTGTCCCACATGCGCAGTAGAGGACGCAATGACCTCACAGGCCAGCGTGCTCTTTTTTTTCCGGAAGTAAACTTGGATGGTAGTGCCGGCGCCCATCTAGCGGTCTTTTCCGACCATAAAAACACATTATTTTCAATATGGTTAAACATATTTACTGCTCTCCGCATCATCATCTGCCATGGTTGTTGTTTTTGTTGCCGCTTCTTCATGGCAAGACGCATAATAGTGACCTTTGTCGGGTATTAATGACGTTCAGGTCGGATGAATGCGACCTGGACGTTCA